AACGCAATAACGGTTACCCATCGTGGGCAGTGTTTGGGTGGAGCTCCCGATTAAAACAAGCTTCGTAGTAGGAGTGGCATCCATTTCCAAAACAGCTTGCCTCCAGAAACTCTATGAACTTGGAGAAACAATGAAAGTATACAAGTGCTCAGTTCTTTTGTTCTTAGGGTCTCTATGAGTCAGCTATGACTTGACAGCACTTTACACCAACAACAAGGGTATATGGGAGTTGATTCCTAAGTACAAGCTTTATGTGAGCTAGAAATTGATAACCAGGGCCTGTTTCTATTGTGGATAGATAAAAAACATGAACACAGGGAGAAAGGAGCATTTGGGGGGACAAGGGAATAGCTAGGCATTTTGCTATCTATGTTTATTAATGTTCTGTCCGACATCATCTAATTTTCTTTGTTATGTTATGCATGTCTGGCCATAATGTTAGTTTGGTAAACTCTCAGTAAAAATTTCATATTCCATTGTATAAAACTATCATTTATTTTTATTATAATCAGTGAATTGCTATATATAGCCATAGTTACATTGTGTATATATTTATATAGTTTTATTACACTGTTATGTTTTATTATTTTTTACCATACCTGTAATAACATTATGCTTTTGTTGAAAGTTTAAATAGCAAAATAAGTTTCCATTTGACAATTTTTCTATTTATTACTCAGTAACATTAGTTGCATTTTTAATGAGTCAGCATTCTCTTTAATTGTGTTGTGGTTGTCCCATTACATTGCTATGTTTAAAAATATGATATTGTTGTTGCTGTTGTAGTTGATTGCCGTCAAGTTAAGCAAGACTCAAAATGTATCCACAAACAAAATACCTAATGCATTTTTATAAGTTGCTCCAAGTTCACAGAGTTTCCTGAGTCATGTGATTTAGGAAGTGGATGCCACTCCTGCTTCCAAACCTGTCCTACAACTGGGAAATTCACCAAACACTGTCCGCGTTGGGAAACCATTTTGGTATTTGATACCCAAATGGCACAAGGTTCAGCATCACAGCAAACCCAGATTACCTCAGTACAACAAATTGAGCAGGAGTGATATACAAAGTAGAAAATGTTCCTCCAAAAGATAACAACATAGGCAGATATAAAATAAAGAGTACAAAAGAGACTATGCAAATTTTATTAAAAGATTATTTTCCTGACCTCTTTTTCTCAGGATTCTTACATACCCTGCACCTGTGATAGAGAGATTTACTGTGAATTAGTAAAGGATTAGTGGAGGCTGAGTGACAAGCAGCAGACATGACAGGACTGAAAGGAAGCATATGGGACTCAGTAAACATTGTCTGGCACTACATGGCAAGTGAAGAGATACTGATGCCCCTCCTATGTCACTGCAGAGGTTTTATGTGAAAGCTTCTTTACCTGTTCTTGTCTCTTCAGTGTTTAGTTCTCAAGAGAAATCAGGCAACGTGAGCTAGGTACTCTAAGCCAGTTCTACCATAATTCCCAACTGCAGATAAATAGGCCTTGCTCTGAAAGGACATCTAAAACACCCCAGCATGGTTAATTTGTGATTTTGTAGTAAAGTAAGGAATAGCATAGTAGAAATTGAAATTTAGCCATCTTGTAATTTCAGTAAAAGAATATACTCTAAAATTGGGATATCCACATTTATTCCTATTCCAAATAAAGATGACCCACCAGAGTGTGGAAATTATTGAACACCATCACTATTGTCACACACAAGCAAAATCCTGCTGAAGATCATCCAAAAATGACTGAAACAGTACACCAACAGAGAACTACCAGAAATACAGGCTGGGTTTAGAAGAGGTCGTGGGACTGGAGAAATGATTGTCAATGTCAGATGGATCTTGGAATAGAGTAGAGAGTACCAGAGGAATGTCTATCTGTGTTTCATCAACTATACAAAGACATTTGACTGTGTGGATCACAACAAATTGTGGTTAACCTTGAGAAGAATGGGAATCCTAGAACACCTGATAGTGCTCATGTGAAACCTATACTTAAACCAGGAGATAATTTTCAGAACAGAGCAACGAAACATTACATGGTTAAAAATCAGAAAAGGAGTAAGTCAGGGATATGCCCTGTCTCCATACCTTTTCAATCTGTATGCAGAACAGATTATTGAAAAGGCTGGACTTTATAAAGAGGAATGTGGCATCACAATTAGAGGAAAACTCGCCTACAATCTGTGTTAATGCAGGTGACACAATCTTACTTGCCAAAAGTGAAGAAGGTCTGAAGTATTTGTTGCAAAGGGTCAAGGACTGTTGTTTACAATATGGATTGAAACTCAATATCAAGAAAACAAAGATTCTCATTCTCACCACTAGGCTATTTGGTAGCATCATGATAGATGGAGAATGAAATTTTTAGCAATTTTAGCTTACTCAGTTCCACTATCAACACTCCTGGCACCAGCAGTCAGGAAATCAAAAGACCAAATTTAATTGTGAAAAAAAATCTTCTGTCAGGGACCTCTCCAGAGTGCTGAAGAGCAAGCATATCAGCCAAGAGAATAAGGTGTGATCCAGACCATAGTCTTGGCAATTACTTGCTATGCATTCAAGAGCTGGACAAGGACCAAAGATGACAGAAGAAGAATTGATGCCTTTGAGGTATGGTGCTGTAGAAGAGTATTTAACATACGATGGACTGCCAAGAGAATGAAACAGGTATCTCCTGGAGAGGATGAAACCAAGTTGCTCCTTGTAGACAAGAATTTTGAGACTCTGTATGACATACTTTGTGCATATAACCAGGAGAGATCAGTCTTTGGAGAAGGATCTCATGTTTGGACGTGTCAAGAGACAGCGTAAGAAAGGAAGACTCCAGAAGAGAGGAATTGGTATAATAAGTGGAGTAATGAAGGTAGGTGTGTCAGAGACAGTGAGATTGGCTCAGAATAGAGCAGGCATCAGAGCTATTGTGCATAGGGTAGCTATAAGTCGTAGACAACTTGACGGCACATAATAACAACAGAATGCACTCTTGAAATATATTTAATCATAGATAATTAAGATTTCAAGGGAAGATCCTTATTCCTTTTAACATCTGTACCCTGGCATTTTTCACTTCCTTGTCAACCATCATGTGATATCTATTTTCCCCTGCCTCACATATTCTTATTTTTGGGTCCCTCCTGATTGTTATAACTCAGAAGTCCTTAGGCTTAGGACACATCTAGGACTTCATCACGTCATGAAAATAACAAAAGCCCATTCACAATGGAATCACACACACATACACACACACAAAGAACATTTTCGAGGTGATAAAATTCAATTCATAACAGTTATAATATTGAAATTAATATCAAGTCAACAATATATGTATTCAAGAACTCTAGCTTTTTGAATGTTTTAAAAAAGAAAAGTCTACTTTTGTGATATGTTTGCTGTACATCTTGGCATTAATTATGTTGGGTATAGGAAGTCAAAGGATGCACACCTACACCAAAACACCTGAAATGTGGAGAGAGTATGAGGTGCAGAATGAGCGAAACCAAAGGGACCTCCTAAACCAAAGCCAGATGCAGCATGTCTTGGTACAACTTTTCTTTATGTTCTTTCATGCTGTGGAGCCGACAGCCTTTTAGGATACTGTCCTCTCAACATGTAATCTAACGAGATCAGGTTTAGTTTTGGTTTTGATTTTGGGTGGTAGTTTGTTTTGTTTTCTCTACAGGACAGACCTTTTTACTTTGGACTAACGCAAACAATCTCTGTATTTATCAATTTTATTTTTTACTTAAGACTTCTCTGATTCTTGAATGAAAATTTTTTTCATGGTCTCATCAGAGAAAAAATCCACAAGGTGAAACGTGTATTGTACCTACTGAGTGTCTCAGTTGCTTCTCAACCTTACATCCTGGAAAACTTGTGTTTCCATGAATAATTCACCAAGCTTTTGAAAATCAGAATACATTTATGAGTTAGGTTTGTAAAACACCTTTGAAATGAAATCTTGAAAAGGAATTGATAAACAGTTTTTTAAAAATAGACAAATTTTTCTCTTTTGGCGTATGGATGAGGCAGACAAATGGAATAATATTTCTGAAGTTTACAGTTTCTAAGTATTCTAACCTATAAAGGATAGTACTATCAAGAACAATAACAAGAACGGATAGTATTTTAGAGCTTTCAGAACATCTTTGTAAAGTGTTCTGTTTGAATTATTTAGAATTTTTGAATTAGAAACTTTGAATTAGGTGAAGCATTTATCATCATGGTCATATTACAGGATCATTTTTGTTAAGAAAAGTTTCCAGCGTTTTGCAGACTGATTGCCAAACAAGAAGTCCATCCCGAATTCTTTTTTTTGTTAACTCTCAGTTCCGATTTTTCCTTATCATTTAATCCAAAAGTATTTCATGTTGGTGTTATGTGCCATTGCTTTGATTACAGCTCATAGTAACTCCAAGAACAACAGACTGGATTTGGCCTGACTTACGCCATTGCCTTGATCTCTGAGCTGTTCAAACCCTTCGTCACAGTCACCATGTTAATCTATCTTGTTGAAGGTATTCCCTTGCATCAGAGTGCCACCTTTCCCAGCATCGTGATCTTTTTAAGAGCTGGCCTCCCTGACAAAATGCCCGAAGTATTAGAGACAGAATTCTCCAAAATTGTTATTCATGCTATTTTGAGGCTTTCCTTATTTTTTTTCCTTCAGAATTCAATCTGCATCCTAGAATCAATGTGCTTAGAAAAAGAATCTTATTTTTTAAAGAAAATGGTATTTTAGTGTAAAAGTGTAAAGTGTACATCAATTAAGATGAAATGTCACTGAGAACACTTGACCTTTAGTTAAATGAAAATGAATGTAAATAAATTTAAGCTATTTTTCATTTTTGTACATGCAAAGGATTTTTTAAATAGTGAAATATATATATGACAAAATTTCCAAAATTATTTCTCCATTTTAATTGTTATTTTGAAGTAAGAGAAAGACCAAATTGTTAATTGAACTGTGTTAAATTTTCCTGTCTTTTCCTCTCTGCTAGGAAAAGGAAGATGACAAATCAGACACCTCAAGTTCTCAGCAGCCGAAAAGCCCCCAAGGTCTGAGTGATACAGGATATTCTTCTGATGGAATATCAAGCTCACTTGGTGAAATTCCAAGTCTTATTCCAAGTGATGAAAAGGATTTGCTCAAGGGCCTCAAAAAGGACTCTTTTTCTCAAGAAAGCAGTCCTTCTAGCCCCTCAGATTTGGCTAAGTTAGAGAGTACTGTCCTGTCAATTTTGGAAGCTCAGTCTAGTACACTGGTTGATGAAAAATCTGAAAAGAAATCAGAACCCCATGGAGTTGCTCCAGAGCAACCTAGGGACCAACAGAAAATTCAGACATTTCCTGAAACACAGGAAATTACTATTTCTGAAGAGGCACTCAAAGAAAGTCAAGAAGAAAAGAAAGATACTTTGAAAAAAGATGGACAACATGGCATTCCTTCCAGAAAGGATTATAAGGAGAAGTTTGAGTTTGTTGATGACATAGCTACAAGGAGACAACCTTACGATTCAGTTGAAGAGAGCAGTGAAAGTGAAAACTCACCTGTTCCCCAAAGGAAACGGAGGACAAGTGTTGGCTCATCAAGCAGCGACGAGTATAAACAAGAAGATAGTCAGGGATCAGGTGAAGAGGAAGACTTCATTCGAAAGCAAATCATAGAAATGAGTGCTGATGAGGATGCTTCAGGCTCTGAAGATGATGAGTTTATTAGGAACCAGCTCAAAGAGCTCAGCAGTAGTATAGACATCCAAAAGAAGGAAGAAACAAAGGGGAAAGGAAAAGTGACACCAGGGAAACACAGGCGACTAACAAGGAAAATCAGTGCGAGCTTTGATGATGATGCCGGGAGACGCCATTCATGGCACGATGAGGATGATGAGACCTTTGATGACAGCCCCGAACTGAAATACAGAGAAACCAAAAGCCAAGAGAGTGAAGAACTTGCAGTTGCTGGAGGCGGTGGGCTACGTCGATTTAAAACGATTGAACTCAACAGCACAATAGCAGACAAATATACTGCCGAGACATCACAGAAGAAAACCATTTTGTATTTTGATGAAGAGCCAGAATTAGAAATGGAAAGCCTGACAGATTCACCAGAAGACAGGTCAAGGGGAGAAGGCTCTTCTAGTCTTCATGCTTCCAGCTTCACTCCTGGTACATCCCCTACATCGGTGTCTTCCCTTGATGAAGACAGTGACAGTAGCCCAAGTCACAAAAAAGGCGAAAGCAAACAGCAACGCAAAGCCCGACACAGGTCTCATGGTCCTCTCCTGCCTACTATCGAAGATTCCTCAGAGGAAGAAGAATTGAGAGAAGAGGAGGAATTATTAAAAGAGCAAGAAAAGCAGCGGGAGTTAGAACAGCAACAAAGAAAGAGTTCTAGTAAAAAGTCAAAGAAAGATAAAGATGAGCTTCGAGCTCAGAGAAGGAGAGAAAGACCAAAGACACCTCCTAGCAATCTCTCTCCCATTGAAGATGCTTCTCCAACTGAAGAATTACGTCAGGCAGCAGAAATGGAGGAGCTTCACCGGTCCTCCTGCTCTGAATATTCACCTAGCATTGAATCAGACCCAGAAGGTTTTGAAATAAGCCCAGAAAAAATAATAGAAGTGCAGAAAGTGTATAAATTGCCGACAGCTGTGTCTTTATACTCCCCAACAGATGAGCAATCTATTATGCAGAAAGAAGGTGGCCAAAAGGCATTAAAAAGTGCTGAAGAGATGTATGAAGAAATGATACAGAAGTCTCACAAGTATAAAGCTTTTCCAGCTGCAAGCGAACGAGATGAAGTGTTTGAAAAAGAGCCTTTGTATGGTGGGATGTTAATAGAGGATTATATTTATGAATCTTTAGTAGAAGACACATACAATGGGTCAATAGATGGCAGTTTGCTAACAAGGCAGGAAGAAGAAAATGGATTTATGCAGCAGAAAGGGAGAGAGCAAAAACTAAGACTTGCAGAGCAGATTTATGAAGACCCTATGCAGAAAATCACAGACCTTCAGAAAGAGTTCTATGAGTTAGAGAGCTTACATTCTGTTGTACCTCAAGAAGATATTGTTTCAAGCTCTTATATCATCCCAGAGAGCCATGAGATAGTGGATCTTGGAAGTATGGTAACTTCTACTAGTGAAGAAAAAAAGTTATTAGATGCTGATGCTGCATATGAAGAACTCATGAAGAGGCAGCAGATGCAGCTAAGTCCTGGAGCCAGTCCGAGCCAACTCCCCCTTGGGGATGATGCTGCAGAGTCCACTATGGACTTTGACAGGGTACCTGATGCATCTTTGACGTCAAGCATTCTCTCAGGTGCTTCGCTTACAGATTCAACCAGCAGTGCAACACTCTCTATTCCAGATGTTAAAATAACCCAACATTTTTCAGCAGAAGAAATTGAGGATGAATATGTAACTGATTATACCAGAGAAATTCAAGAAATAATTGCCCATGAATCATTGATTTTGACGTACTCAGAGCCCTCAGAAAGTGCTACATCTGTCCCACCGTCTGACACGCCTTCTCTCACATCATCTGTTTCTTCAGTTTGTACCACAGATAGTTCCTCCCCTATTACTACCCTGGATAGCATAACGACGGTTTATACAGAACCCCCAGATATAATAACTAAATTTGAGGATTCTGAGGAAATTTCTTCATCAACTTATTTTCCTGGAAGCATCATTGACTATCCAGAAGAAATAAGTGTATCATTAGACAGGGCTATCACACCAGATGATAGGACCGGTGCTGATCATGTTGCGATTTCTTTATCTGCTATTGAGCCTTTGGTCATAGAGTCTGTAGCCTCTAAGCTTGAGGGACCTGTTGCTGACATTGTTTCCATGGACTTACCTGTATCTGAAAAAGACTCAGCACAAAAAGCCAAGAAAGAAACTGGGAATGGCATTATTCTAGAAGTCTTAGAAGCTTATAGAGATAAAAAGGAGGAAGCTGAAGCTGTATTAGCAACAGCTTCCTTACCTGAAACTTTTTTTGATCATCAGCGTTCTCCTGCAAAAGCTTTTCCAGTGAAGGAGCAGGTCTCAGCCACATGTTTTGTGTCTGGAGAAGTATTTGACCAAGCAAAGCCTGTGTCTCCATTACCACCTGACAGTCCTTCAGTTTTCACTCTTCCAACTAAAATTCGCCCATTTGTTCGAAGTTCTTCTTTGGACACATCAGCCCAACCTCCACCACCCCCTCCTCCACCTCCACCCCCTCCTCCTCCACCTCCTCCTCCCCCACCCCTGCCTCCACCAACTTCTTCTAAACCAGTGACTTACCCTAAAAGAAAGGTACCAGTTACCACTTCAGGGACTCCAGCTCCTGCTGCTATCCCTCTGGTTGATGCTGTTGCTCCTGTAGAGATCCAGGCTGTTCTGAAGAGTAATGGGTCACCCATAACAAAGATTAGTACACCTGCACCTCCTCCTGTCCCTCCTAAGCCATCTTCTATTCCATCTGGACTTGTATTTACACACAGACCTGAACCAAGCAAACCTCCAATCGCTCCTAAGCCAATAGTTCCTCAACACCCAATAACTACACAGAAATCCGCAGATACACCTCCCAAACCAAACGGTTTATCTTTAACATCAAATATGACATTGAATTTAGTGACTTCAGCAGATTATAAGTTGCCTTCCCCTACCTCCCCACTATCTCCACACTCTAACAAGTCTTCACCAAGGTTTTCTAAATCCCTTATGGAAACTTACGTTGTCATCACGTTGCCATCTGAACCTGGGACTCCAACAGATTCAAGTGGTCAAGCAATTACGAGTTGGCCCCTAGGATCACCACCCAAAGATCTGGTTTCCATTGAATCAGTGTTTTCTGTAATTCCTCCTGTGACAGCTTCAGCTATTCCAGGTTCTTCACAGCAGAGCCCATATGTTGCAAGAGGTTTGGAGACATTTTCTGCTGTCCCCATCACAACACCATCTTCATTTCAACCTGTCCCAACTTCACTGACACAATTTCCCACAACAGAAGTGCCCAAAGTTGAAGTTTCATCAGCTAAAAGTATAGTCTCTAGTGTTGGTCCCAGCAGTGTCACTATAACAATTCCTCAAGAACTTCTTGCTTTAGATACTCTACATTTAGAGAAGCATCAGTATAAGGAAAATGGAAAATTACACATTGTGGGTGATGTCATTGATTTGCGTACGGTACCAAAAGTGGAAACTAAAGGAACTGAAAAATGTATGGATCTTTCTGCTTCCACGATGGATGTGAAAAGACAGACAACATCAAGTGATGTCTATGGGAGACAGATTAGTACTGTGCAGCCATCCATCATAAACCTTAGTGCCACCTCAGCAGCGGTAACGCCAGTGTCCCTTGCTACAGAAACAGGGGCCATTGTTACATGCACAGCTAGTACAAGCTACACCACAGGCACCGAGAGCTTTAGGAGTATAGAGCCTACAATGACAACACCTCTCCAGCTGACCACATCAAAGTACTCCGAGCCCCCCCACAGGATGACAAGTGCCCAGGCTTTTCCCTCACTTAGGGAGGAAGCACCGATCAACTTGTCTCTGAGTACTTCAGCACATGCAGTGACACTGGCTGCTGCAAAACCTGTTACTGTACCTCCCGTTGGGGTTACAAATGGCTGGACAGATAGTGTCTCTTCCCAGGGAATCCCCGATGGGGAGGCTGTGGACCTCAGCACTACCAAGTCTCATAGAACTGTCGTAACAGTGGATGAAGCTACTTCAAGTGCAGTGACCAAAATAATAGAAGATGATGAAAAACCTGTTGATCTGACTGCAGGACGAAGGGCTGTGTGCTGTGACGTGGTTTATAAGTTCCCTTTCGGAAGAAGTTGCACAGCACAGCAGCCTGCGACCACTCTCCCAGAAGATCGTTTTGGTTATAGGGATGACCACTATCAGTATGACCGGTCAGGGCCGTATGGATACAGAGGGATTGGGGGAATGAAACCGTCCATGTCTGACACAAATTTAGCAGAAGCTGGACATTTTTTCTATAAAAGTAAGAATGCTTTTGATTATTCTGGAGGAACTGATGCAGCAGTAGATCTAACATCAGGGAGAATTACTGCAGGTCAGTATGACGTGGCAGCAGACCTGTCCTTGAAAAATCATTCTGGTGTTCCCCATCTCATTTCAGGATGAAAATACGGCTCCTTTTCCAATTGTCGTAGTGTTTTTGTTTGCTTTTTTAAATTTTTTTTTTTCTCTTTGGATGTTTTGGCAGCGTAGCTTGGAATATGTGTGCGCTTTTTATTTTCATTTTTTATATTCTTCCCCAAGTCACCTGCATGTGCCTGCATGTTCAACGTTGCTTTTATTCCGCACCTAATTAGGTTAACCTGTGGATTTGCATGCAGTCCTGTTCATTATGTTCATCAAGATGAGAGGGCTTTCAAACGCAAAAACAGCATCCTTCTTTCTGGGAACTGGACTGTAACTCTGCCCTGTATTTCAGGTGAGGTAATGGATTATTCAATCAAGACTACAGGTCAATATCCAGAAACACGACAAGTCATTTCAGGTCTGGGCCTTAGCACCCCACAGTATTCCACAGCAAGAATGACTCCACCGCCTGGACCCCAGTATTGTGTGGGGAGTGTTTTGAAGTCATCTAACGGTGTTGTGTATTCTTCGGTAGCAACTCCAGTACCTTCCACATTTGCTATCACCACACAGCCTGGCTCCATTTTTAGCACCACTGTAAGGGATTTGTCTGGAATGCACGCAACTGATGCAGTGGCTTCACTACCAGCCTTGCAACAGAGCCAGCCTCTGCCTAGATCCTATTTCCTAACAACTGGTTCATCGGAAACGGACATTACAGTAACTGGTACTGATATCAATGCCAGCTTACAGACCATCACCATGGAGACTTTTACAACCGAGACAATCGACTCTGTTCCCACTTTAACGACAGCAGCTGAGGTGTTTTCTGAAGGAGGGGAGGATGAGAGTAGCCTTTTAATTGTCCCTGACGAAGATAAACAACAGCAGCAGTTAGATTTAGAGCGGGAACTCTTGGAACTGGAGAAAATCAAGCAGCAGCGCTTTGCCGAGGAACTGGAATGGGAGCGCCAGGAAATACAGAGGTTCCGGGAACAAGAAAAGATCATGGTCCAAAAAAAGCTGGAGGAGCTGCAGTCGATGAAGCAGCACCTCCTCTACCAGCAGGAGGAAGAGCGACAGGCCCAGTTCATGATGAGGCAGGAGACATTGGCTCAGCAACAGATGCAGCTTGAACAGATTCAACAGCTACAGCAGCAGCTTCACCAGCAGCTGGAGGAGCAAAAGATTCGCCAGATCTATCAGTATAACTATGACCCGTCAGGAACTGTGTCTCCACAAACCACCACGGAGCAGGCAATTTTGGAAGGCCAGTATGCTTCCCCCGAAGGTGGCCAGTTTTGGGGAACAGAAGAAGCAGCCACTACAACGTCAGCTGTCGTGGCAATTGAAATCCCACAAAGCCAGGGATGGTACACAGTTCAGTCGGATGGTGTCACCCAGTACATTGCCCCGCCTGGCATCCTGAGTACTGTTTCAGAAATACCTCTCACCGATGTCGTTGTAAAAGATGAAAAGCCACCCAAAAAGCGAAGTTCCGGAACCAAAGGCCGTGGACAGTATGATGAGATGGGAGACAATATGGGAGATGATCCTCGAGCTTTTAAAAAGATAGTGGACAGTGGCGTGCAAACCGATGATGAAGATGCAGCAGATAGGAGTTACGCGAGCAGGAGGAGGAGAACTAAAAAAAGTGTTGACACAAGTGTCCAAACTGATGACGAAGATCAGGATGAATGGGACATGCCCAGTCGGTCAAGGAGGAAAACTCGTTCTGGGAAGTATGGTGAAAGCACCACAGAGGCAGACAAGGCCAAACCGCTCTCCAAGGTCTCCAGCATAGCCGTCCAGACAGTGGCGGAGATATCAGTGCAAACGGAGCCAGTCGGAACCATAAGGACGCCTTCAATACGAGCCAGAGTGGATGCGAAGGTCGAAATAATCAAACATATTTCAGCACCTGAAAAGACTTACAAAGGGGGCAGCTTAGGGTGTCAAACAGAAGCAGATTCAGACTCTACACAAAGTCCTCAGTATCTGAGTGCTACCTCTCCCCCCAAAGACAAGAAGCGTCCAACTCCATTAGAGATTGGTTATTCATCTCACCTTCGAGCAGATTCCACAGTACAGCTGGCTCCTTCCCCACCCAAATCACCAAAAGTCCTTTATTCGCCCATCTCACCACTTTCACCAGGCAAAGCCTTAGACTCCGCCTTTGTACCTTATGAAAAACCCCTATCTGATGATATAAGTCCACAGAAAGTACTGCATCCCGACATGGCTAAAGTTCCTCCTGCAAGTCCTAAAACAGCCAAGATGATGCAGCGTTCTATGTCTGACCCCAAGCCTCTGAGTCCCACGGCGGACGAGAGCTCCAGGGCTCCTTTTCAGTATACAGAAGGCTATACGGTAAGAGTGATTCTTTTTATTGTTCACAATGATGGGTTGTTTGTGAATCTGTTTGCAGATTTTAGAGGTAATAAAGTGAATGCCTTATTTCAGTGATGGCTCTTTCTGTAGAAATTTGGGATAAAAATGTACTTACTAATTCACTTCAAATTATCTCCACCAAAAGAAAGCATTATGTGATACAAAAGGAACAGAAATTTTAATATTTGATGAAAGGGTTTTGGCATTTTCCTAATGCATATCAAAGACTTATTTCAGTGAACTTAGTACATGTATATATTCTGGTATGATGGAATAAACAGTGAACATAAACAGATAAGGCTAAGAACAGCTGTAAATTTTGAACCAGGGTTTCTGGAATTCCAGAGTTGATAGATGTCTTGGAGATCAACTTGCCAGTCACTGTTATATTTTCCTTAATACTGCTTGAACAAACTTAGTCAATACAGGACATTTCTAGGGCAGACAGAAAAAAAAAAAAAAAAAGTAAGGCAATTATCCATGCTTGCCCGAATGGGGACGATCTAGCATTAAACACAGAGAAAATAGGAATATAATTCGGTTCTGTATTAAAAGGATAAACCAAAACTAAATCCATTGCCATTGAGTTAATTCCAATTAATGATGATTCTGTGTCTTACTGAGTAGGAGTTGCATAGAATTTTCTGGGTTGTAATCTATTGGCATGGATCGTTATATCTTCCTTCGGTGAGATCTCTTGAAGGGTAGCAAGCTATAAACTAATAAATAGCCCAGAGAAGAACAATTTAGCCACTCAAGCACCTAATAAAAGAATAATTAATTATAAACAGTAATCATCAGAAGTTGAAGGAATTTTTAGATTTCCCAAAATATTTTAAAATGTTTAGGACACTCTGGTGGCTTACTGGTGACGAGTTGCACTACCAACCCAGAGGCATGTGGCTCAAACTCCCAGCTGCCCCTTGAGAGAAAAATGGGAAATTGCCTCCCATGTGATTTCAGCAGCTTCTGAAACCTTGCTGGAGAGTCAGTTATGAATGGGTTTTGAATCGATGGCACATAACAACATAGTAAATATGTTAGATTCACAAAGAGCAAGAAACGTTAATGTCTCAGTTATCAGTGCTGCTCTAGTAGAGAACACCACAGTGAATGACTTTAACAAACAAGTTACTTGGGAAGAATTTAGGAGACTGTAAATCTGAAGTTCAAGATTCCAGCCCTAGGGGAAGACCTTTTCTCTCTGTCACTCCTGGAGAAAGGTCCATTTTGCTTCAATATCTAAAGACCAAGCATTCCTTGGAAACCTCGATGTGTTTTGGCTTTTCTTACCATCAAACAGTGAGTCCACTCTTGAGTCCAAAAGGACACAAACTGCTCCTGGAGACTCTTTCATGATGATAATGAAGTCCACTTTTGGTTTTTTCTCTTTCCTTCTTTTTATCCCTTGTGAGATGAAGGATGTTGCAGGCCACACCCTAAGGAAGCTTCGCTTACACCAGGTCAGAGCTGTAATGGAATTGAGCAGAGTAGCATCCCATCTTTGTTTTACGAAGTATTTGACTCATCAGATCATGGGAAATCATTATATAACTTCAATATTATATCCTTCTAACTCATAGTGTACTTCCCATTGAGTTTTGGAGGCTATAAACTGCAATGGGAGAAGACTACCCATCTTTCATTCCTTGGAGCCACTGGCAGATTTGAACTTCCAGAAATGTGCAGCCTTTGGGTGATGGGAAAGTCTGCTGTTAGGGACCTCTCCAAAGTACTCAAGAGCAATGGTGTCTCTCTGGAGACTAAAGTGTGCCTGATACAGGCCACGGTCTTTGCAATCACTTGTTATGCATCAGAGAGTTGGACAATGACTATGGAGGACAGAAGGGGAATTGATGCCTTTGAGCTGTGGTGCTGGAGAAGAGTATTGAATGTACCATGGACTGCCAAGAAAACAAACAGATTCATCGTGGAGAGGATTAAACCAAGCAACTCCTTGGAAGCAAGGATTCTGGGGCTTTGTCTGACATACTTTGGGCATGTTGCAAGGAGGGAAATCATGCTTGGGAGGGTGGAGGGATGGCATAAGAGGGGAAGATGCTCTATGAGGTGGATTGATTCAGTGACTGGGGTAATCGGAATGGGTGTGCCAGAGGCAGTGCGATTGACACAGGATAAAGCAGGGTTTAGGGCTGTTGTACATAGGGTCGCTATGAGTTGCAAACGACTCGACGGCACATAACAGCAACAACTGGGTGAGCAACACAGCTTGCTATGGACCATGACACCAGAGCCAGAGCTTCCCATGGCAATGAAATGTACAAAGAAATAAAGGCAATAAAGTGTTTAAAGATTAGGGAACATGAGCAGACAGAGCTAAGGGGAGGAAAAAATGTATTATTGATGAAATTTTAGAGTAAATATAATTGAAATTATTTTACCATTACAGATTTGGACACTACTTCCCATGTCTATAGAGGACCTTGTATAAATTATTAGCATCTTTTATTTACGCATATTTTCACACAAATAAAGACGCTTTGGTGGTGTGGTAGTTAAAAGTTGCTAACCAAAATGTAGGCACTTTAAACCCACAAGGAAAGAAAAGAAGAGAAAAAAGAAGAAAAGAAAAAAGGGGAGGGGAGGGGAGGGGAGAGAAGAGGAGAGGAGAGAAGAAGAAGAGAGGAGGGGAGGGGAGGGGCGAGGAGGGGAGAAGAGGAGAGGAGAAGAGAAGAGAGCTGTCTACTTCTCTAAAGGTGTCAACCTTGGAAACCGTATGGGGCACACTCCTCTGACAGGCAAGAGCAATATGAGCCAGAATTGACTGAACAAGAGTGAGCTAACCCAGTCAACACATGCCTATATGTTTGTCAGTCACTCCAACCTCCCAGGAAGTATTCTTTCTAAACACCAATATGACAGTATTTTGTCCATGTTACTACACAAAAATAATTATGACAACAACAAGACTGTATTTATAAAAATACCTTCCATGGATTGGGAAGGATTTTTTTTGACAGATAAGACATTTAATCTCTTGTATTATTTGCAGAAAACTTATCTACAGGCCTCTGTTCTCCTTCCATACTTGCCCTCTCATCAATCAGTATCCTAAGGAGAACATCCAGAGATATCCACACCCCCCACACACACCCCAGATTATATCACTCCATAGTGTAAACTCTCCAATAAATTCTTATCCAATCAGAATATGTTCAAAATACTTCTCCTGGGCCCAGAGAGGTGGTCTCCACGTGTGTTACCCTCATGAGTTATTGACCACACTTGCCACACTTCTCACTCTACTCCATCTACTAATGTTTGGGTGTGCAAAGCCTCAGTCTCGCCAAAGGGTGTGTCTGGATCTTGCTTCTCATCTTTGTGTGGTTCTTTAGTCATTGCATCTTCTCAAATTTCATAAATTCTTTCATTCTCTAAATAATCCTGCTGCTACTATCACTACCCCTTTAACCCCATCTAAATTTATACATGCTATATTCCAGAGTATTGGGCCATAGATCTGGCAGTGTTAGTGTGGCCCAGTGCCACAAAAGCATTATCTTCTTACCCTGCCCATGGAGATGCCCTGTATAGGAGAGGCCCCCACTGATTGTGGCTCCTGTGACTCTGAGCAAGAGTGCTGGCGGTATGACTTGTGATGAGTCGACAGCAGTTAAGGATCAATCACTGAGCAAATTCAGGCAGTTCTAAAACATGTTGAAAAGTTCTGCATTTACTAGTACACTTTGAATGTCAGGAGAGTAATATGTCAACCCTCCACTTGTCTGGACTGACAGGTGTGCTGCTCAAAGGTGTTTCAAAGATGAGCAAGTTACAGAGATGTGAGAGATGTGTTGCTGGACTGAGCATTCTGACTTTTAAATCGCCTTCGGATTAAAGAGAATATTTTAAAAGTAGTCTGCTTCCCCTATAGCAGTTGTGACAGTTGCTGTTTTTGAGAGTATTGTTGTGTGCCCCCAAGTTGGAACCAACTCATAGCTGACCCTCTAGTGAGTTTTCAGAGAGTAAATAGCATGGGAGATTTCCCATCTTTCTCCCAGAGAGCAGCTGATGAATTCAAACTGCATTTCTTTGGGATTGAACTGCATATTTCTTAACACTAGACCACTAGAGGTCTCTAGAATAGTGATCTTAGTATATGTCTTTAATGTAAATATCTGGCATCTTTTACTGAGACTGTGAAAATACACACTAAAAGGTCTTTTCCACCCTTGAGATGGTAAAGTGTAAGGCAAAATTGTTCACAGATTACAAAATTTGTTTTCATTATTTTTAAAGTAGCAAGAATTGTATAAGCAATGAAAATGATAACTTCTACAAGGAGGAAGAATCTCTCCTCTCCCCACAGTATTGTTAATGGCACTGTCACTCACTTTCTGGTGCTCTGTGTCTTTCTGTCACTTGTTGCACCATCTGAACTGACTTGTAGCTGACCCTCCAGTCTGTTTTCAGAGGTTGTAAATCACAAAGGAAGAGATTGCCCATCTTTTCTCCCACAGAGCAGCAGGTGGATTCATACTGGTTGCTCGATTTCTTACCCACTGGACCATCAGGGTTCCCTTGTAAGGGAGCTAATAAGTACATAAGAAGCGTTCTAGGATAAATGTAACAGAAAATTAACAGACAATTGCAAGTAAATTGAAGGCCTCTCATTTTTTAAAAGAGATATGAAGAAATCAAGAGAAAGGATGTTTATACTGCAAAGATACTTTGTGTATGAGTGTTCTGGTCAGTGCCTGGAAGTTATATTCTGAATTAATAAATCAAGTTCCTGGGTCCAGTAATCTGCAGTAGTTTAGCATTTGTAGGCAAGATGTTCCTTCCCAGATTGGCAGCAACTAAGATGGTCAAATACCAAACAACTAAAATAGAATGAAAAAAAATTTGTTTGGCTGAAAAATCTGGCTAAATTTTTTTAATTATAAAATTTTATTTTAATTGCACTTTTAACAAATATTTACAGAGAAGCTATATTTTTATTCATTCATTGTTGCACA